TAGTTTTTTGAGGCATCTCCATACTGTTTTCTATAGTGGCTGCACCAGTTTGCATTCCCACCAGCAGTGGATGAGGGTTCCCTTCTCTCCACACCCTCTCCAACATTTATTATTTTTAGTCTTAGTGATTGTAGCCATTTTAACAGGCGTAAGGTGGTATCTTAGTGTAGTTTTGATTTGTATTTCCCTGATGATTAGTGATGTTGAACATCTTTTCATGTGTTTATTGGCCATCTGTATATCTTTGGAAAAACGTCTGTTCATATCCTCTGCCCATTTTTGGATCAGGTTGTTTGTTTTTTTTATTGTTCAGTTGTGTGAGTTCCTTATATATTATGGAGATTAACCCCTTTTCAGATATATGATTTGCAAATATTTTTTCCTAATTGGTGGGTTGTCTCTTTGTTTTGATTTGTTTCTTCTGCCTTGCAGAAGCTGTTTAGTCTGATGACCTCCCACTTGTTTATTTTTTCTTTTATTTCCCTTGTCTGCGAGGACATGGTTTTCGAAAAGATCCTTTTTAGTTCTGTGGCAAACAGTGTACTACCTATATTATCTTCCAGGAGTTTTATGGTTTCAGGACGTATCTTCAAGTCTTTGATCCATTTTGAGATTATTTTTGCGTATGGTGTGAGATAATGGTCTGCTTTCATTCTTTTGTATGTGACTGTCCAGTTTTCCCAGCACTATTTATTGAAGAGACTGTCTTTTCTCCATTGTGTGTTCTTGGCACCTTTGTCAAAGATTAGCTGTCTGTAGATGTGTGGTTTTATTTCTGGGCTTTCAGTTCTGTTCCATTGATTTGTGTGCCTGTTTTTGTACCACTACTATGCCATTTTGGTCACTCTGGCTTTGTAGTACATTTTGAAGTCAGGGATTGTGATACCTCCATTTTTGTTGGTTTTTTTTCCACAGGATTGCCTTAGCAATTCAGAGTCTTTGGTTGCCCCACATGAATTTTAGGGTTCTTTGTTCTATTTCCATGAAGAATGTCATTGGGATTCTGATTGGGATTGCATTGAATCTGTAGATTGCTTTGGGTAGTACGGACATTTTAACTATGTTTATTCTTCCAATCCATGTGCATGGAATCTCTTTACGTCATTATCAATTTCTCTCAGTAATGTCTTATAGTTTTCATTGTATAAGTTCTTCACCTCCTTGGTTAAATTTATTCCTCGGTACTGTATTATTTTAGTTGCGATTGTGAATGGAATTGTATTCTTTAGTTCTCTTTCTGTAAGTTCGTTTTTAGAGTACAGAAATGCAATTGATTTTTGTAAGTCGATTTTGTACCCCACAACTTTACTGTAGTTGTTAACTATTTCTATTAGTTTTCCGATGGATTCTTTGGGGGTTTCTATATAAGATCATGTCGTCAGCAAACCGAGAGTTTCACTTCTTCCCTCCCTGTTTGGATTCCTTTTATTCCTTTCTCTTGCCTAATTGCTCTGGCCAAAACCTCCAGTACTATGTTGAAGAAGAGCAGTGATAGTGGGCACCCTTGTCTTGTTCCTGTTCTCAGGGCAGTGGCGCTCAGTTTTTGCCCATTGACTATGATGTTGGCTGTGGGTTTGTCATATATGGCCTTTATTATGTTGAGCTAATTTCCTTCTATCCCCATTTTGTTAAGAGTTTTTATCATAAATGGCTGTTGGATCTTGTTAGATGCTTTCTCTGCATCTATTGAGATGATCATGTGTTTTTTATTCCTCAGTTTGTTGATGTGGTGTATCATGTTGGTTGATTTGTGGGTGTTGAACCATCCCTGTGTGCCTGGTATGAATCCCACTTGATCATGATCTATGATGCTTTTGATGTACTGCTGAATTCGGGTTGCCAAAATTGTGTTGAGATTTTTGCCTCTCTGTTCATCAGCAATATTGGCCTGTAGTTTTCCTTTTTTGTGTTGTCCTTGTCAGCTTGCAAGTCAGCATTTTTTTAGAGTCACATTAAATTTATAAACTTATAATTTATAAATTAACTTAGGGGAGAATTGCTGTTTTCTATTGAGTCTTCCTATCCAAGAACAAATTATGCCTTTCTGCTTTAAACCTGCTTCTGTCTTTTCAGCAGTGTTTTTAAGTTTCTCTTAAAGGTTTTGTGTGTTTCTTCAGTTTTTGCCTTAAATATATATTTTTTTATTAATATAAATCGAGGTCATATTTTCCATTGCAATTTCCAGGTAGTTACTTATGAAGTCAGTTTATGAAGTACTATATATGAAGGCTGTTGCTATCTTTATGTTAATTTTATATCCTGCAGCTTTACTTTGTCAAATAACGGACAGAGTGAAGTACTTGCTTCTGAAATGCAGCCATGTATTGTATAAAGCGTATCTTTCCTGCGTGATAACAGGGCCTTTGCACAAAACCACTTCTTTGTCTTCTTGGTACATAGTGTAGTATTATCTCTTTTGCAACCTGTGAGAAAAATTGAGTTGTGTTTGAAAATATGCCAAAGTCAAGGACTTGATTAAGGTAAAGCAGAATTTCTTAGGCTTAGCACTGTTGACATTTGGGGGCAGATATTTTATGTTGTGGGGGGGGGTATCCTGTGTGCTGTAGGATGTTTATTAGCATCTCTGGCCTTTACCCATTATATGCTAGTAACAACCTCCCCTTCCCCTAATTGTGACAACCAAAAGTGTCTCCACACATTGCCACATATCCCTTGAAAGGCAAAATTGGTCTTAGTTGAAACCCATTGACATAAGGAAATGGCTAAAATATCATCCCTCTAAATTGTAGTTTAGGGGCTGGCCCTGTGGCATAGTGGTTAAGTTCAGCATGTTCTGCTTCAGCAGCCTGGGTTCAGATCCCAGGTGTAGACCTACACCACTTGTCAGCCATGCTGTGGTGGGAACCCACATATCAAGTAGGGGAAGATTGGTACAGATGCTAGCTGAGGGCTAAGCTTCCTCAGCAAGCAATAAATACATATATAGATAGATAGGTAGGTAGCAGTTTAAGTTAAGGTAGATTCAATTTAGAAAAAAACCCTACCACCATAAAACCAAGTATATCTCAGGGCTGGCCCTGTGGCCAAGTAGTTGAGTTCATGCACTCTGCTTCAGTGGCCTGGTGTTCGCCAGTTCAGATCCTGGGCATGGACCTACATACCATTCATCAATCTATGGTGTGGCAGCATCCCACATAGAGTAACTGGAATGACTTACAACTAAGATAGACAACTATGTACTGGGGCTTTAGGAAGGGAAAAAAAGAAGATTGGCAACACGTTAGCTCAGGGCCAATCTCTTCACCAAATAAAAAAGGCTATCACAAAAACAAACAAACAAACAAAAAAACCAGGGCCTGGCCGTGTGGCCGAGTGGTTAAGTTCGCAGGCTCCGCTTCCGAGGCCTAGAGTATCACTGGTTCAGATCCTGGGCACAGACATGGCACTACTCATCAAGCCATGCTGAGGCGGCATCCCACATGCCACAACTAGAAGGACCCACAACAAAGAATATATAACTATGTACCAGGGGGCTTTGGGGAGAAAAAGGAAAAATAAAATCTTTAAGAAAACCCCAACCAATCAAAGGTACACATATGTGTGCATATGTGCATATGCATAGAAGATTATCCAAAAGGCTACATTCATTGTTTACTCTTTGGGAAGAGAATGGTTTGCAAATGATTGGAAGGGGAAATTTCATTTTGTATTATTGAATTTTTTATCTTTGAAGATTGTATTCAAACTTTTTTTTTTTGTAACTAAAATTTCTGATTTTAAAAAAAGACAGTAAACTTGACTAGCTTCTTGTTTTTTTTTTTTTTATATGTAAGGGTCATAATCAAGTATCAAAAGAAAGAGTGATGGTGAATAGGTTAAACTCAGTAAGCTTGATTAAACAAACTTTCATTTGATAAAAATTATGTTTACTTTGGGGTGTCTTTTCTTTACTGAAATATAGAATCTCAAAATTAAATTTAGAAAAATATTACTGTGTTGGTTTCTTCTGTTTTGTAGCTTGCTTTTCTAAATAAATAAAACAATATGTAACTAACTCTCCTAAATTTCAGCAAGTCATTAAATTTTTTAGCAAAAAATTTCAAATATTTAAAATAAAAACCAAATTCTACCTCTAAATTAGCAGTTACTTGTATAATCAATTCTGATGGTTTTGTGAACATACCAAGTTATACATTTTTGTGCCTCATACCTTGTAAGCAGTGGCTCATGATTACTTCCCTCAAGTAGCTTAGTTAACACCGCACCATAAACCCCTCATAGACAACAGTCAATGCCGTAACAGACGTGAGGAAAAGTACACAGAGCGTGCAGGTAGCTTTTGTGGGGGGAACTGGGGAAAGACATTACAAAGAGGAGGACAGTTGAGCTAAATTCTTAGCTAGAGCTTTTAGAGGGGGAGGACCATATGCAGAAATCTATGTGAAATAATAAAAGACAAAGTAATTTTTAGAAGAGATATTATTTAGAAACCTGCCACATGATATTGTGTTATGCTGTGTTTAAGAAAGAGCCAGCAGTTGTGTAAGAATTCAGTGATGGGAAATTAAGAAAGATTGAGTTAAGATTAGTGTTGTGTCTGTTTTGGCTTTTTTTGTTGTGTTTTGTTTTATTTGAATAAATCCACTGCCCTTCTATTGAGTGGCATAATTTGGTGTATCAAACAGGGATCATCTGAGAAGTACTATGAATGAAACATTGTTTCTTAGTGCTATGAGTGTCTATTGCCAGGGACCTGAGCAAGTGTGGGAATCATCATAGGGTCTCTGAGGAAGTTACTTTCAAGCTGACACCTGAAGGACAAGTCAGAATCATCCAAGCTGGGTGTTGTGGATCAGTGTTTGTGGAATAGCATGGGATATGAAAATAGCCCAGAGTGGCTGAAGTGGTGGTGGTGAGTGGTATAACATGGCGTTGGAGGGGCAGGCAGGAGGGTAAAATCATGTAGAGCCTCGTGGACCATGTTCATGTATTTTAGGCTGAGATGCTGTTTTCTAATACCAGGTCATCTTTTTCTGCAGTACCAAATATGCCCCAACAGCGGCAAGACCAGCATCATCAGAGCGCCATGATGCACCCAGCCTCAGCAGCAGGCCCCCCAATTGTGGCCACCCCCCCAGCTTATTCCACACAGTACGTTGCCTACAGTCCTCAGCAGTTTCCAAATCAGCCTCTTGTTCAGCATGTGCCACATTACCAGTCTCAGGTAAGGCTGCAAGGTTGACATGACGGAAACCTTGACTTTTGTTCCACTTAAATATCTTTTAATTTTACCTTTTGATATGGTAAAGGGGTTTTCCTTTATATTTTGCACTTTGTGTTATAGTGAGGTAGATAGCTAAGGATTTAGGGGGCCTTTTTAATATGTATTAGAAGGTTGCTGATTAACGTAAGTGTTTCAAAGGAAATAAGCAAGAAAAGTTTTAGAGTTTTTAGAGTTGTTTCTGGAAATGTGGAAACCATTGAGTTAAGACATCTAACTAAAATATGCATGACTCTATTTGATATTTTAATACTTTTTCTTTATTTTTTGTTTGAACACAGCATCCTCATGTCTATAGTCCTGTAATACAGGGTAATGCTAGAATGATGGCACCACCAACACACGCCCAGCCTGGTTTAGTATCTTCCTCCGCGACTCAGTACGGGGCTCACGAGCAGACGCATGCCATGTATGGTAGGAAGCACTTCGTGTGTCTTTTTCAGTGTGTGTGACTATTCTTAATTTGTTTTAAAGCTCTGAAAAGATACTCTGTTTAGGAGTAACTTGGCCTTTTATGACATTGAGGATCAAGAATCTAAAGAAAAGATGAACCCATTTCTGTCTCTGACCTGTTGGAAGTCTTGGCAAGTTATTCCTACTTTTGTTCCTGAAATTCCTATCTTCAAATGTCTCTCCTTACTTTAACTAAAATGTAATGATGTATGTAATGGAAAGCATCTTTTGTGGAAAGAGGTATCTTCCTCATAGTATTGTTATTTGGTGTGCCCTGCCTAAGGCATGCAAGAAAGTTTTACTGTAATGAAAGCACTGTCCAGCAAAACATTCTGCTTCACTGCCTGCTCTGGGCGTCACTGGCCTTACATACTTTTCTTGCTATTTGTTGTAATGCTACTGTGTTTCTGCATCATGCTGTGTGTATTTTAAGTGGTCAAAATTGTGTAATGATAGATCTGCTTTAGACATGATTCACACTTTAATCAATATAAGCAGTAGTAAAATGAAAACGAGAAGTAGTCTGTATAAAATTAAACAATGTATAGAAGAACAATAATCAGAAATTACCATCTTAGTTTTGTGGCTAGAGAACTTTGTACAGGTCAATGTAGCAGCTGTGGAAAGTACTAAAATAATATGGTTTTCAATGTTGAGAATTTAAATACTATTTCCACTTATATCTTGTAATATGGAATGAATGAGGTTGTCCCATACTATAATAATTTTTCAGAATGCACCTTTAATTAGTACCAGTTTCATTAAGATGTAAGTTTTGTTTTGAACTTTTCTGAGAACTCCTATACTGTCACGTTGGTTTTCCCATTGGCATTTCAGTTTTTTGGAGTGGGAGAAGAGAAATTTAAGTTTATTCATGCAATTGAAAAGTGTGCCACTGTGTGAATGAAGTTACAATTGCATGTAACTACCTGGACATTTCATTTTTTAAACCTCTTTAAACTTTTGAATGACTAAAAATGTAAAGGTTTTCCTTTTTTTAACTTTAGATGCCAGTTTATCACATTTTGTAGGTTACCAGCAATAGGACTCCGGCAGCAACAGTTATCCTTGTCAGCCATGAGCCACCGCTTAACGCTTTCTTCCTGGTGGCGTGCTCCTGTCACAGAGGTTCACTAATGATAGGAATTTTACAAGATTACAGCATTATTTTTATAAAATACTTTTAAGTCTGATCTTAATTTTCCATATTATCACTTAAAACTTTCTATTGTAGATTATGCCCTTTAAATAAAATGATGTAATTGCCACATTTTGGAAAGCGTTTCTTTCAAGAGACCCATCTGTAATTTAATTGAAAAATATAGTGACAGACTGATTTGGCTTATGATTTTGGTTATGATCCCTGTCATAGTCATGTCTTTAGTTGTTTTAACCAGGACTAAGTATGTTTGAAAAGGCACCTTTGATTCATCACACTGGCTTTTATGCAGTTTGTATACATTTCAACAATTTTCCAGTTTGCTAAAAGGTTTAGGTGAAAAGTTCTTTATTATTGTTTGTACATTTCTGGAGAATACATGATGATTTAACAAGCGGAAAAAAGCATTTCTTTCCTCCCTTTTTCTGGCACATTCCCCTTGGACTAAGATCTGAAACTTTTGAGCTAAAATTTCCATTGCTTTGAGGGAATAGCGAACTGTGTGCCCGTGCTGTTGAGACAGGGTAGTGATATTGTGACGTTGAGCAGGATCTTCCTCTTCAGTGTATGCACTCACTGCCAACATCTGGCTTTGTCTTTTGGATGGATGTTCATTGGTTTGAAACAGCCTATAAAGTAAAGACTGTATTTGAGGCACTAATGGTTTTTATAACAACCTTCCCAGAGCATGTCCATTTGAAAAGCAGTTGGCCTTGGACCCTGAAGTCTATTTAAGTGTGGGTAAATAGGAAATATTGCAAACAAAACAAAACATTAGACTAATGTCCAGTGAAATCTTGACTGAACTAGTCATCAAAGCCAGTTCTTTAATGCCAGGAGACAGTTGCTCAATCAAATCTGAACTACTCTCCTGTAATTGACACGGGTTGTATTTAATTGATGGCTGTTGGTGAGGGCAGGCCAGGGGACGGCTGTGGACTTGGTATGATTGTTGCTGGTTAATCAAGGTTCTCTTTTGGATACTTCATATCCTAAAAAGAACATTAGGAAATGAATTATTTTGTTCTTTGCTGTCATAAGCCATAATTTATCTGCCAAAGCAAGTTTGTTAATTGTTCGGTAATTTATTTCAATTATTTTAGATCTTACAAATTCTGCTTATACTGAATATAGACACATTTTAAGTACATTATTTTAAACTAAGACAAAACTGTTGCATGGAAATGCTAATTTTGTACTCATTTCCAACAATTTATATTTTATATTCCCAAAGGAACCAAATATTTTGAGTATGAATTATTTTTTTTTATTAAGCTATGCCCTATCTAGATTTTGAAAACTTGTTATACAAACAAAGGAATATGCATCCAGATGTTGGTGACAATTAGATGTCACCCTTTTTGCCTTTCATTAATTGTTATGGCCATAGCAAAAGGCTTTGAGAATAGAAAGGATCACTGATAACTGCAAAATGAGACTGATTATTGTTTTTAAATTGTTGGTATATTTACTATAAATATGCTAACAGATTACTGAACAGTTAAAGCAATAGTTGTGGATAGACATTCCAAGTGATTGTTGACCTTGGTTTTTTCCAGCTACTTTAGAAAGGATCATGACCACAAACTTTATCTCTTTGGCCTTGATCTGTCATCGTTGCCTCTGCCCCTCCCAAGAAGTTACTTTCTGTTTGCTTACCATCTAGTCTTCTAATTCATGTCAATTATGTTTTATGGCAGTGTTGTTTTCCCTTTCAAAAACAGTAATAATGAAGCTTTCTCTGCTAACTAAAGCCATCAGGAAGTTAGATCCAGAATCCTTTTTTGGTTTGTTTTTTGATAGTTGAATGCAGATACTTTAGAAAATACAGCAGGCAAAAAGATATAAAATGCACCTGTTATCCTTCCACCTGTTAACATTTTGGTGCATATCCTTTTCAAGTGTACTTACACACACACAACCCTGTATGTAGACATTTTAATAAGTTATATCATATCCTTGTTTAATACTACTAATATTATGCTTTTAAATTTTTGGATCCACTACCAGATGCCCAATGAGCATCTTACAGAATAATGACATTTTTATTAATAATGATTTGCAAAATTGTTTGTCTTTTGAATTAAACTTGGTAAATATTGGTTTATTATGGTACATTATTTATATCAAGATTGTTCAATGGAATGTCATGTTGGTCTTTTTATAGATAATAATTTTATTTCTTTCATTTAAGCGAGTCAGCATGTGGAACTTGACATCCCAATACAGAAGAAAAGTGTCTTTTGATTCAGCCCTATCTTATTTAATTTTGTAGCAGTGTTTAAAGTGCTTGTCATCTCTTGTAAAATAAGAAAAATGAATTATGCGTGAATACAAAAAAGTTACTAAATATGTCAACCTTTCCAGAAAATTAGGAAAATGCACACCTCAAAAGGCTAATTTACCTTTCTATTTCCCAAATTCAGCATGTCCCAAATTACCATACAACAAGGAGACAAGCCCTTCTTTCTACTTTGCCAGTGAGTTGGGTTTTTTTATACTAATTTTAATTGAACAGTAAAACACTTTTTAAAGAATACATGTTAAGGGAGTAGACTTGTTGAGCAATATTTTCCTTGTGCCATACAAAATCATTAAAAGTATGTATATCCACAAATAATTGAGAGTTTAAAAAATGAAATATAACCCAGCTTAGGAAAGCTGGAGTTAATAAAAAATTGAGTTTCAGAAGTTAATTTTTGCATACCAAGCAAACATGTGACTGTTTTGGAAATGCTTAATATTTTCCTTGTTCAGAGAAACTTTTCCTGAATGGCTTTTTTTTTAAAAAAAAAAAAAGCCACAAGCTTAGTATAAAAAACTTAAAATGTTAGTTTTTTTAGTATCCTATTAAGAAGAAATTTATCCTTATAGGGATTTTTGATTGAATAGGATTGAAATACTAGGGGAGAAACATTTCTGTCTTTTCAGTCTTTGCATGACTGGAGGTTTAAAATACTCAGATAGCAGACACCTTAGGATGTCCTGAGTTTAAGCAGGAAAGCGTGACCTAGCAGCTCGATTTCTACCAGAGATTATCTTTGGCAATACGGGCCCCCTCTCACCACCAGTGAAAAGGTAAATGATTGCTCCTAAAAGGAGAAAGTCAGGGCAGGGCTTTCTTTTGGAAATGAACTTGTAAGGTGTGTTTTCCCTATTGGTAGGGCAGTTTTTAAATAAGGCTAGTCATGGACTTTTGGTATTTCAATGGGAAAAATACTAACGTGCAGAAATCCTTTAGAAATTTATGCCAGTAATATGTGTCACTTTATGTGAAATGCTATATTCTAGAGGATATTAAGGATTAAAATTTTATTTAAAGACTAAATTTTGAATTATTTTAGAATGACTCAATGTCTGAATCTACTAAATGCCAGATTTTTAAAAGCATTTAGAAAACATTTTGTTTTAAATTTTCATTAATTGTGCCATGACTTGGTATCCAAAAATAAGTGTGTATGTATTATTTATTTGGTGCTAGGAAATGTTAACAAATTTAATCCTTTAATAGATGCTCTTTAAAAAGGAGTCTTGCTGTGTGTGTGTGTATATATATATACACATATATATATATATACTATTAAAGGGAGACTATGGATGTGATATAGTATGTAAAAGACAGTGTCAGTAATTTTATTATGTACTCAATTTGAGGTCTCAAATGTAGTTATCCTCACCATCTTACTGTCTCTGTTAGTAATTTTGGAATCAGTTTCCTGGTAAGTAGCTAAAAGGTCCTTAATCATCACACCTAAGCATTAACTGCCTTATCACAACTTCCCCTAAAAGAGAATGTCAGTACTTGTTAAAAGAAACTAACCGTGGAGTTGCTATTCATAATTTAATTGGCTGCTTTGTACCATCTCACCACCACCCCCAAGCCGTTTTGTCATGGTTTGGTCTAGTTACTGCCTTTTACTCCCCTTTTAAAGAGTTTTCAACTTTCCTTCATTTCCTTTTCTCTGAATTTAACATCAAATTTAAAAGTTGGGAGATTTTGTTTTGTTTCATTTTTAAAGTTTTGCAGTGCTGGTGATCTCTCATGACTTGTGCATCCAAGGTCAGAAGAACAAATGTAGTTACAAATTAAACACACAGCCTTACCACTGAATTGGCTTCAGTAAGACCATGGCCTAGGAAACTATTTTTGGAATGTGGTTAGTGTTAGGAGGATTTGACAAATCGTATATTTAGAGTTTTAAGCATTTATATCAAGGATCGCAGTGAGTAGGAAACTTGTGGGCCAGGCCTGGCCCAAAAAAGCAGTGCTTCTTTGATTAGCTAGCTTGACCTAATTCAGGTTTCATGAAGGCAACGTGAGTTTTATAGATAGAAGTGTAACTATTGACTGGCTAAATCAGAATTTTGAAGAAAATTCACTTTATTTTTAACCTCTCTGGAATCTTTAGCAAAATTAATGAGCATGTATAGTTAAAGCAGTTAAATAATGCATGTAGCTCAGTAAAGCCCAGAATTTACTGCCCTTCGCTTTCCTTCTTCCTTTCCTTGATTCTGTTATATTTTTCCCCTCGTCTACTCTATCTTGGTTCCTTTCTCTTGTCTCCCTCTTCCCTTCCAACCTTTTTTTCCCCCTCGGCAGTTTAGTTTTCCTCTCATCCCAGCTTTATTTGTCTGCTTCTTAACTGGCCTTTCAAGGAGCCCAACTATATTTTTGTTGTTAATAATATTGAATTAAATGTAAATTTCCCATTTTTCCCGTTTAGCTACTCAATTTTCATATTTGAGGGGGGGAAAAGTTCCTAAATAAGGTATTTGCTTAGCAAAATATCTTTTAAGCAAGAAGATGAACAAAGGAAAATATTTCTAATTAAGCCTGCTTAAATTTTATTTGCAGCTTATGGTGTACATCTGCTTGATTTTTCTTAAAATGCATGGTAGTTTACTAATGTGTAGGTAGGAGGAGTTTTTAAACAAAGCCTGCAGATGCACTCAGCTTGGGTTGCCTGAAGTCTTTGTGCCATGAATGCAAATGAGATATAGATTAGAAGACTCTGTTTTACATAGCTTTTCAATATTGGTAAACTATCATAGAGATGCCTTTTGCATAGTAAGAAATATTTCATCTTTAATTTTCTCCAAATTTCAAGATTTTAACATTTTTTCTAATTGATGAATAACTTAATTATGAGACTTCGTGGATATAATTATTCTCTTTATGATTGCCATGTTTTTATGTGTGAAAATTAGCATAGCACCCAGCCAGAGGTATTTTTTAATTTATTGTTACTTTTTATTTCCTTAATATTTTGCTTAGAAGGTAATTAAAAGTGAACTTTAAAACTTTTCAGTACAAAAATTTCTTAAAGCTTGAAAAATGAATAGAAACTCTGATTGGGGCCGGCCTGGTGGCATAGTGAATTAAGTTCATGCACTCTGCTTTGGTGGCCTGGGGTTTGTGGGTTCAGATCCTGGGAGCCGACCTACACACTGCTCATCAAGCCATGCTGTGGCAGCATCCCACATACAAAATAGAGGAAGATTGGCACAGATGTTAGCTCAGGGATAATCTTCCTCACCAAACAAACAAACTAAATAAATATTAACTCTGAGATTCTGTATTCTGTCTTTATGAAACCTCATAAATAGAATGTGGGATTTGGAAATTGCTTTCTCCCAGATTTAATATTGTTACAAATGAAATGTTTAAGAAACTTGCGGGTAGGGAGGGTTTTAATGCTCATGGTTTGAAAATAAGGGAGCGTGAATAACTCTAGACATCACTATCCAGTAGAACTTTCTGTGATGATGGAAATGTGGTACAAATTGTGCTATCTACTCAGCAGCCACCAGTTACTTGTAGCTTTTTTAATTATTTAAAAATAAATTTGAAAAATAAGTGTAAGATTTTTACAAGAACAAAGTCAGGTTCAAACTTTATCAAGTCTTTTAGACACAGTCAGTGCCTAGACAGTTTTGGGGGATCTGAAAGTTAACTTAATGAGTATAATGGTGAAGAATGGCCTTTTAATAAGCCAGCAAATTAGAAGGAAGACACTGACTGCTTTTATGGACTCATGGGACTGTGGAACTCAGGAAAGCAGTTAGCACATTATCTTTCCCAGCTCCCAGAAAACAGTCCTTTTCTTAAAAACACCCAGAGGATATATTGCCACAGTTTTCCTTGTTGATATGTTCCAGTGTATGTTAACTCTTATAGTTAGGGAAATTTCCCAATGTATAAACAGAAGTGCTTTGTTTAATCTAATCTGGGTATTAACGGATGTTAATACCTGCTATGGTGTTGGCAGTGGATGCACAGGTGATCCTAGCACTGGCTCTTCACCTCACCCGTCCCTCTTTTAAAAGATGCATAAGTTGGGGAGATAACCAGTTGGGCTGGAGTGTTGGTGGCCCTTGGCCCTACAGTGTCAAGCATTACAGAATTGCTTTGTGTGCCTAACTCTCTGCATAACATTTATGTGGGACATACCCAGAGTCATCTATGTTGGTGACTCTTGGCAGCCTTGTCTGTTAGACTGCCGAAGGTGGGGTGTCTGATCCCAAAGCCATGCTTGCTTTCTATTCATCCCCTGTGTCCGTATTTGCTAACACATCATATGAAGAACTATTTTGGAATTGTTTCTATGTATGGGTTTAGCGTCTCGGGGATTTTAGGACTAATTTGAGAGAAGGCTGGAAGTCACATGTTGCTGGAGATGTCTCTTGAGAACACTGTCCTCGGCTCATTGTCACAGCATGTTTAGATTTGTATCAGTGCTATCGATAGTCACTGGAAGCAGTGAACCCATCTTCTTGTGCTTTTGATTCTCAAATTGCTATTTGGGGAAGAAGTGAACAAATTAGTTTATACCTAATCTCCGTGTTTTCTACCAAGGTATGGTCTGTGCTGAGATTCACAAAATTGGCTTTGGGTTCTTATCTTTAATAAACACATTTTTACTTAAACTGGCCCATCATATTTCCTTTTGAAGTTACTCTAATAAAATCTTTCTGAAGGCTGAGACGCTTTGAAGGGAGTTTATTTTTCTACATAGTTAAGGTAACTCCATCTACTAGGTTTTATAAAGCAGAGGTGAAAGTGCCTTACAGAGGGAGGGCCCAGGGAACGGTCTGAGTGTCAGAGAAACTTTTGTGATCAGCTGAGAGATTGTGGTCATTTCGCCCTGAAGATAGAGTCCTGACTTTGCCACATACCTTACGCAGCCCCTATACTGTCTGCCCACGGGTCACTGTGCCAGCTCCAGGGCAGTAGCATGGTGAGGTTAGCCAGATGATGGCCTTGAGCTAAAGTAAGTGTGTGTGTATGAAAGAGAGGGAGATTGTTCAAATTGTTTCTGCCTATGCTTTTAAGTTGCCTTTTCAGGAAAACCTAGTGACTGTTTTAAGAGTAAGTTTAAACTAGTTAAATTTTAATATAATGTAAGCTGTGTTATATGAATAAATGCTAGTCTGATTGTTAAGCAATAACTTCACACTTATTTTTTCGAGAAAATGGATGATTTAAATGGAGTCAAATATAGAGATTGGTAACAACATAAGTTAGGCATTGAGCATCAAGAAAGCTCAGTTGATGAGGCATAGAAGAGCAGTTAAGATCATCCTGCATGTCAATTCTACACACTGCTTTTTCTTTCACTTTAGTTTCCACTGGCTCCCTTGCTCAGCAGTATGCGCACCCTAATGCTACCCTACACCCACATACTCCACATCCTCAGCCTTCAGCTACCCCCACTGGACAGCAGCAAAGCCAACATGGTGGAAGCCATCCTGCACCCAGTCCTGTTCAGGTAAGGAGAAACTCCGAGGCCTTCACAGAACTGCTTCCTCATTCTATTAACTGAACGTTTTTTCTAGTGCAAGGCAGGGTGCTAGGTACTACATGATCAAAACACCTGGCAGCCCTGCCCCGTGGAGCCAGCATACAGTTCTGCAGGCTGTGACTCTGGGGTGGTTGGGTTGGTTGGTTTTTGAGTCACATTAAGATACATACTGAGAATAAGGTGATTGGGGTGATTGGATAAGTTCTGGAACCTTACCAATATTGAAAAATCTGATTTAACATAAAGTAAGGAATGTGTATGGGATGCCTTTTTTTTCATTCCTAATGTTTATGAGCTTTTTTCCTATTAGTTTCTTTAATCGTGTTTGTTAACAGAGGCATTTAAGGATCTCCTTGACATCTGTCATCCCCTGGGGCAGTAGTCTTATTTTACCGCTGCTTAGTGGGGGGTTGTAACTATCAGGCTGAGAATCAGGCTTGCACCCCAGAAAGAATGTCTCTGAACAGGAGGCCCCCCTAGCCCTGTTCTTACCACCCTCTCCATTCTCTTGTACTTAGCATTGCCCCTCATTTAAATGGGCCCAAGTGGAGCCTATTTTCATGTGCAAAAGTTCAGCTTTGTGTGTGACCCTTAACTGTTTTTCATTAAAGAACTGGTTTTCTCAGTTCTTCCCTGATGCTTTGCAGCACCATCAGCACCAGGCCGCCCAGGCTCTCCATCTGGCCAGTCCACAGCAGCAGTCAGCCATTTACCACGCGGGGCTCGCGCCAACCCCACCTTCCATGACACCTGCCTCCAATACGCAGTCGCCACAAAATAGTTTCCCAGCAGCACAACAGACCGTCTTTACGATTCATCCTTCTCATGTTCAGCCGGCATATACCAATCCACCCCACATGGCCCACGTACCTCAGGTAAACCAGCTTTAGCCAACTTTCTGTGAAGACCAAGTAGAATATGAAGGTTATCACATAAGCAGCAAAGAACTAGAGGCTCTCCAAGCTAGGAGACCCTGTGTATGATGCCATTTGCCTGTCTCCCTTCTCCCACTTAAATACATGTGATCTGGCCCTACATGAATGTTTGTGTGGTTTTGTAATGGGATCAGTGAAGTTGCTGATTGGTCAGTCCTTTAACGTTTCCCAACTGAGACCTTAAAAATATCTTTGACTCTGGAATGCCTCTCGGTCCTTCTCCTTTCTGTGTCTGCTTTGCTATGTTTATATAGCCTCATTGCTATATATATGTATACATATATATATTCTCTCTCTCCCTCCCTCCCTCTCTTTCCCTCATTCTCTCTCTCTCATCCAGACACACTCCCACCCCCCCACACACAGAAGAAGTCTGGCAGGGAGGGTGGGCCTTCACAAATTTTCGGCTCTCTGAGTTGACTACCCTGGCCTGTCAGCTTGAATGTTAGTGACATGAGTTCCAGAGAAATCTCTCCACTTGTTTTCCCTGGCTATCTACATATCTGCTATGACCATATGTTGTACTTCTTGAAAGGGCTTGACCTTGTACATTGTTGCGGTGTAAGTAGAAGCTGGAAGCGCCCAGGCCTTCCCATTTTTCTTAAAGAGCAGCTTTGGGAGCGCTTTGGAGCTCACCTCCAGTGTAAGCTTCTAAAGGTGGAGAGGTGTGGTTGCATCTCAGTGGTTGCTGTCTGCATCAGCTGCTGACAAAAGTCCAGTGCCATCCAGGGCCAAGTTGGATTGTCTTCCTGAGGAGAAGGAGCTGCACTGCAGTTGGGCTCTAACACTGTCCTTGAGGCCCTCCTTGGAGCTGTTAATGGGTGAAGTGGCTGTATTCGATGTCTTTTTGCTGCTTTCAGAACAGAACTCTTAGGCGGGTCTAAGCTAGACTGCCTCACGGAACTCCATTTCATGTCAGACAGTGCGCCACTGAGGCTCTGGCGTGGTGGGGGCTGGAGATGCCACTCAGTTGGAGCTACCTTTCAGAAGGCGACCTTGTATCTAGTTCCACAGCTCTGGGAAGTGTGGGTGTCCTCCCCTGCAAGTGTAGGTCTGTAGTGTGGTGCACTGCAGCGGATGATTTGCTTTTGACGGTGGGGAGGGAGCCGATTTGGTCAGATGTGGGCCGGCATGGTTTGGCTGAATCAGGAGCTTCATGAGAGCTGGGGTCCTGTAGATGTCTAGCAGAGGCTGGTGGCTAAGTAGGTATGTGAATTTACATGTAAGTTGGGGTTCCTAAAACCTCACTTTTGTGTTTCTGTGTTGAAAGAGCAAAAAGGTTATTGCTTATAGCGAAGCCCAGATATGCCATGGGCTCATTTGAATATGTAAGAATAAAAACAGCATTTCATCTAAGGCTTATCATGGTCTAGAACAGTGCACGGCACGGGAGGCAGGAGATGAGGGCTCTTCCTGGCCCTGCCAAATCTCTGCAGAGCTGGGATCCAGCTATTTCGGCTCACTAAAACCTTTCCAACTAGACAGTGAGACCAGGTTGAAGTCACTATCACTTGGTACAGGGACACTGGGCTGTAGATAATTTCAGATTATCCCTCCCCATCTCACTGGAGCCATTACCTGCAACCTCCTCCTCCTGCTCCATCAGTGTAACTTTTAGCAGAGTAAGGGGGCCTGAGAGTCTCTTCTCTCACTGCCCTGACTCATTCTTCACTGAAGTGTGCTGATGAGCAGGCCAGAAGCTGAGGGGGAGGGGAAATAAGGCAAAGGCTGAGTAATCCACAGGGCAGAATTTGACGGTCCCTGCTTATAAGGTAATAATCTGCTTTCCTATTTGAAAGGAATGTTATCTGTAAAACTACTTCAGGTCCCACATGGAAGCCAGGTTCTGAAGCATCATTGCATCTTGCCTCCTATTAAGTTGAGAAAGCTGCCCTTGGGTCAGGGGTCTGATCTTTGTGAAGACCTTGCTCCACATATAGAATCGAGTGATGAGAAATGTTGAAGGCTAGGACATTGCAGCCCTGACTTTTACCCAGGCTTGCTGGGTGCCTGCTCCCTCAGCCTTGCAGGATCTGCTAACAGGTGAAGCACGTCTGCAGGTCAGTTGATGATCCGCTAGGGAGCATTCCCAGAGGAAAGACCGTTGCCCTTTCCTGAGAGCCCTGGCCCAGTAAAAGGGACACAGTTGACATGTTGTGTAAGCTGGAGATGTTGCCTGTATGCGTAAAAGAGCTCTCTGTTTCAGGCTCATGTACAGTCAGGAATGGTTCCTTCTCATCCAACTGCCCATGCGCCAATGATGCTAATGACGACACAGCCACCCGGCGGTCCCCAGGCCGCCCTCGCTCAAAGTGCACTACAGCCCATTCCAGTCTCGACAACAGCGCATTTCCCCTATATGACGCACCCTTCAGGTGAGGCGTGTGTGTGCAGGGGCCGCCGGGCACCCCAAAGCATTCTGCTCGCACAGGTCGAATGGTAGGCAGGGCCAGCGCTTTGAGCCCCACATTTGAGAACTAGCAAGACTCGTCAGAGTGGCACAGTAGGGACTGTGACGATCAGTTCAGTGTCAGGGCCTGAGGCTTCCAGCAGGAGCCGAGTCTGTGTGTGTTCTGATGGTGCAGGGATCTGGCTTGATGAGAAGCAGCAGCAGCAGTCTGGGTAGCTGATGCATGCTTAGGACTCAGTTGGCCTTCCTTGTTACGATAGGCGGGACAGGGCAGCGCTTTCCTTCCTGAGTCCCAACAGTCTGACATGTGGGGGGTTACCACCATGGCAGAGTTTGATTGTAGCTCTGGAGAATACTACTGATGAGAGAGTGCTGTGTATGGATCGGTTTGAGGGTAGTCTTAGCTCCAGCCTACACCCTGACAGGGAGAGAATGCCCGTGATTGCGCTCTAACACTCGATGGCTGCCATGGCGACATTTCAGTCTGACCTGTTACTCTGAAAGCAGTACTGGTGCTTGGCTAATATTTGGGGAGGGGGTATGTTAAGGCCGTTTTTCCTACCCCATGAGCAACAAGTCTTCTAGGAGTTTTATCTGAAGTGGTTTTACGTCTGACTGGTTTGTTTGTACCCACCCACCTACCCTTCCCCTTTTTGGTACAGATGGGAGGGGAAAAGAGTGAATTAAATTCTGAGTCTTATTCAGCTAGCACAAGGATAGTTTACAGTCACGTGCTGCAGAGACACTAGGCTAATGTGCGGTGTTGCCAGTTTTCTGTTTAAATATTCACTTTTCTTTTTTACAGTACAAGCCCACCACCAACAGCAGTTGTAAGGCTGCCCTGGAGGAACCGAAAGGCCAAATTCCCTCCTCCCTTCTACTGCTTCTACCAACTGGAAGCACAGAAAACTAGAATTTCATTTATTTTGTTTTTAAAAAAATATATGTTGATTTCTTGTAACATCCAATAGGAATGCTAACAGTTCACTTGCAGTGGAAGACATTTGGACCGAGTAGAGGCATTTAGGAACTTGTGGGCTGTTCCATAATTCCATACGCTGTTTCAGAGTCCCGCAAGTACCCCAGCTCTGCTTGCTGAAACTGGAAGTTATTTATTTTTTAATGACCCTCGAAAGTCATGAACACATCAGCTAGCAAAAGAAGTAACAAGAGTGATTCTTGCTGCTATTACCGCTTAAAAAAAAAAATCAAGACTTGGAACGCCCTTTTACTAAACTTGACAAAGTTTCAGTAAATTCTTACCGTCAAACTGACGGATTATTATTTATAAATCAAGTTTGATGAAGTGATCACTGTCTACAGTGGTTCAACTTTTAAGTTAAGGGAAAAACTTTTACTTTGTAGATAATATAAAATAAAAACTTAAAAAAAATTAAAAAATAAAAAAAGTTTTAAAAACTGATATCAAGTTAGTGTGTGTTTGTATAAGCTATTTCTATTATAGGATACGTAATATCAAGGCAGGAGGGCTGAGTGTGTTTTCTTAATATCCTGGAAGGTTAGTTGTCAAATGATTTTTCTTCTTCACCTTTAGTTCTGGTTCAAGGTATCTCTAGAAAAAGACAAGACTGAAATATTCTCTTTGGTGGATAGAGGTCTGCTTCAGAAGGAGGAAAGCTGGCCAGAGTTGGGCAGCACTGAAATTCCACATCCTCATGATGCTGATTCTGTAAGCTTCCTTTTTAATATCTCCTGAACCCAAATGAGTGTTAGTCAGTTGTCCTGATTCAGGCATCTGTCTGTTTTACCAGTAGAGGGCAGGAGACACTTTTCTTAAAACTGTGATAAAGAAATACAGAGGGCAGAAAAGCTGAATAGATGCAGTGATGTACAAAGCAGCTTATTGCTGTAGACTCATAAGTGTCTGTTATGTCCCCATTTTGTGGGAAGAGGACAAACGAAAAGCAAGTGTCTAAGCAGGGCAAGGATTTTGCAAAGACCATAGTCATGATAGATAGAGCCTTTAAATATTGTGGCAACAAAGTCAAGATTGTGAAAACTTTTTTTTAATTCACATGTAGCAATTTGTACATTATAGCAAAATTTGCATTATTCAAGAATAAGTTACTTGTACAGTACATAAACAATACATAAAAATTTGCCAAATACCTTCTGCCTATAATGGTACAAGATGAATCCATTATCTGTGTTGTCATTACAATGTGCTGTTTATTCCAACCAAACACTGGATGTCAGATGTGTCCTTGTTAAGAGGCAGTGGATAATATACTATCAAGTTCCTCTAGCCTGTGGGAGATGTTAGCGCTTACATGACATTTGCGATAAGAGACTCAGCCCTGAATAAAAGCATGAAGGAATCTCAGGCAACCCTTAGGGAAGGGTTCAAGGCCTTGATTTGAGGTTAAGAAACTGTTATGTAAAAATAGTGTTCTGTGGCCTAAGATTTTAATGATTGCTATTCCTTTTTCCTGCACGGTCCAGAAATGATCAAAGGCAGAAGATTTATACCAGATAAAGCCATATGGATTGCTGGTCTAAATTCAAGGCAGGTTAGTTGACTTAATTCTTTGGTGCTGGTGACTGTTAGTTTGTAAAAGTTCATTAAAGTCAGATGAAGGAAGTGATGGTGCTGGCAGCTGTCACGCTATCCTTGTTGTCTGTAATTAAAGATAACTGGAGGGATCATGATGCTCACTATCCATTTGGCACTCAGAGCCTGAGCTCTCAGTGGAGACTGCTGGCTTGGCCTTTTGTTGCCAGCAGCAGTCACATCGGGACTGGAAGGAGGGTGGTGGAATGTGCTATGACCTCGGTGGGCTGGCTGCAGCCAGCAGGGTCACTGCCTCACTGCCTATGAGGGCATCAAGCCCAGGGACCCACTGCTCCCTTTCCTTCAGCCTGACCTGCTCTACTAGAAAGAAAAGGCATTGGCTTAGTGTCACTTCCTCCCAGGCCATGAGGGAGCTTTTTGTTGGAATGTATTTCAGCTGTCCTGGTAACTGGGACACGTTTAGAAAGGAAAGGTTTTTCTTGAACATTTGACACCGAGGCAGTCTGGAGGTGGGTGACTTCCAATTCTGTCAGTCTGAGCTTGAACTTTGTGGTCAGTGGGTCAGAACTGCTAGTTTGCTGTGCCTGGCTTGTGTCTTGGCACTACCTGAGAATTGTATATTGAGAGGCTGCTAAGAAGTGAGTGCCCCTGGTTTGAAGATGTCATGTCCCCCACTTCTGGCTGGAGGGAGGGAACTTTCCTGGTTCATTGTCTACTTGACCCCTTTTCTGTGCAGACAAGGGGCAAATCTGGAACAGTGACTTGTCAGCATTGACTTTCAGTGATGAGCTTTCTCTTTTGAAAGAGAAATCCAGAATAGTGCTTACTCATCTGGTTCACACTTTGCTTAGCATTTGTTACTTAGAGAAACCTACTTGATGTGTAGGAAATGAAGACAAGTGTCCTTAGAAATGAACCACAAATCTGGATCAGGGTTAGACCTGCTTTACAATCGGTGAAAACACCCAGGATTATTGGTTTAAAAGTGAAGAGGTGGCTGCTTGCCTCTCCCCCTCCCCACCAAAAAAAACCACAGAAAATTCTAGAAGCAAAAGTCTGACTTCTGACCCCTTGAAGTAGAGAATGGTTAGAGGGAGCAGACCAAACCCTTACCCCCAGATAAGGCAGTCAGCAGTTAGTTTTAGGCCAAGGTTTAATTTTAGCCTCTGATTGATGTATCTATAAATGTTGAGCTGTGCTAAACTCCCAGTTTCCTAGAAGCCACTTCGGTGAGCCTGGTGGCTGTATTGACTCTGCTGGCAGCCAGGAGCAGCAGACTCCACTCTGTCACTGCCACCCTTGTTTCTGAGCCTCTGTGTGAAAATTCTGGGAGGAGCCAGCCCCCCTATGAATTGTATCACTTGTGAAAGGCAAGTATAGATGACGATTTGACTGGAGGACCTCCCTGGATGTTGGAGATGGTGTGTGCCCGTGTGTACATGCACACTCATTCTTCATCAGATGAGGCAGTAACCAGCTGGAACAGAATGTTGATTGTGGGCTATTAAAGGAGTTTCTCATTAGCTGTGGCACCAGATTCCTAGCTTCCATTTTGGCTCAAGAATGAGCCTAAAACCTTGTGGGATAATTATAATAAGCCATTAGATGCTTCAGGGGCTCTGAGCCAGCCCTGTTGGGAAGCATTTACTAGAAAGGGCTCAGGAGCCCTTCCCCTTTTGCTTGTTCCCCCTCACCCCTCAGTTTTAACTCGCACCATAGAGCTGCTGTAAACCAGAATCCAGTTTTTATTCGTAAGGCACCAGGGTAGAACTGTTCCTTGCCAGCCTCCTATTTCAGTAACTGCCTGAATTTCCCTGAGGGTGACATGCTTCACTTCTCTACATTTAGGAAGGACAGTGGCTACTCAGCAGCAGGTGACTGTCCTGAGAATGCAGTAGACAAGGAAGCCAGGTGTGCTGGCGCAGACCGGGAACTAGTCAAGTTGGGTTTGCATAGCTGTCTACAAAAATCACATGGGTATTAGTTCAAACAGTGCAATGAAATAAGCAATGGTTTAGTTTTGAAACCTGAATCCTTTGAAAAATTAATCTGAGGTAAAATGTTTAAAATCATTTTTGACCTTTAGCTTGTCCATCTGCCAGAGCTTGTCCTAAAGCTGAGAGTCAAAGCAGGATAGTTGTGGTCACCTGTGGTGTGGGTACAGCAGCCCTACCACATGGACTGAAGCTACAAAGGGAAAACCATATGAGAATCCAGGGCTTGTTAGTGTTTTGGGCTTCCTGATGACCCCCCCAACACCCAGTAGAAAGCCTGTCATCATCTGTGACAGTGTCAGTGAAAAAGAGAATGAGTTTCCACTGCCAGCTCTGGCCCTCACCCCACCGTCTCCTCTCAGAGTAACGGGGACTGGTCCAGGACCCAGGGCAGGAGCCAGTGGCATCTGTGAACAAGAACTACATCTGTAAACAATAAGGAGAAAGCCAGGTGATGGATGAAACTTATAGGAGGCCCTTTAACAGGCCTAATAGAAGGGTCACATCCAAACTGGAACAAGCTGTTAACAGTGTCCCTTAAATCTCTCTCTGAAAGGAGGAAAAGACAGTTACATTCACAGGTTCCCATCTCTGCTTGCTTGTGCTCCTTGAGGGCGTCTGTGAGGCCTGGGCTTCCTCACTGCCTGTCAGAGAGGTGTGTACTGATTGTCTATGGCCCGCAGGTGGCTCCGGGAGGAGGAGTCCATTTCGTAGTCTGAGTCCCGGGCTCGACTGGCAGGCTCGGGCTCCAGGTGCCGCATGCTGTTGGCCAGTTCCTCAGGCGAAGGCACCAGGTGGAAGATCTGCTCTGGGGGAGAGGATCGGCCTGGGAGACCCTCTGGGTTGAGCCCCCGCGGGCAGCCAGAAGTGCTAAGGTGGGGAAGGCCCAGCTCTGAATCCCAGTGAGACAGGGAGAAAGGGAACAGGACAGTGTTGGAGGAACCTGGGGGACAAGTGACCAAGAGAGAGACCACACCATCAGTGTTAATGGGGCAAGTGTTGGAAGGACACGAAACGAGATCTCTATGCCCCTGGGTGTGCAGCAAGCTTCCACCCCCTACCCAGTTCCCTGTGCCACCCACCCCCTTTATCAAGGGGCATTAGGGTCACACCTGGTGGCTGGGAGACGACTACCACATAGCTGGACAGCCGGACGTCACAGGCAGCCCCACACTCAAGTGGGATGGGTGAGCGCTGGAAGTGGTGCAGCATGTCCACCACCGAGGGAAAGTGGAGGTGCTGCACGCGGCACTGGCCCCGCTCCGTCAGTGACAGGCGCAGGTGCTGCCGGAGACAACAGTAGGCTCAGGCCCTGACCCCTAAGGGCCTTGAACTTGGGGGAATGGGGGAAGCCCCACCTGCCCTGCCCCATACCTTGGCGATGCCCTGGAAGTTGAATGTGAGCACATACTCCCCACGCCGGGTCTCACTCTGCCGTACCAGGAACACTCCGTGAGCGTCAGGACCCTGCAGCTGAACCAGCTGAGCTGCCTTCACTCGGGAGATGGGGCCATGGAACCAAGGGTAGCAGGACAGGAAGTGATCTGTTTTCTGGCAGGCTGGGTCCAACAACCCCCCAGGAGAAGCACCTGATTGGAAGATGGGTGATGGTGAGCCCGTGTGAGGCCTTATATCCTGGGCTGAGGTTGGGTTCCAACAAACCCGGAGGACAAAGACGCGGATCCACTCACCTTGGTTCAAGGAATCTGTGCTTCCCCTTGGAGAGTTGGATGTGCCGGCCTCTAGGGCTGAGGGAATATGCATTTCTGGGTCTGTGTTCTCCAGCCTGCTGGAGAAGAGGCTGGGGTTAAGGATCTGGGTGGGTCAGGGGTAGCAGTAAAAGCTATGTCACCAGTGGGGCCTTAGGGTCTGAGGCCTCACCCTTGGCCTGTGCAC